TGGTCTTTGAATTGATCGTTTGGTTCGAGTAATTGTTGTTTTTGTTGTTCAACGCCCGGTACGAGCCGTTGGCGCCGCCGCTGCCGCCCACAGCGCGCGACTGCGGCGGCGAAATCGGGTACTTCACGAACCCGTTGCCGGCGTTGGGCGGACTCGTGCCGTACTGTGTGGCGAACGGAGTGCCCGAACCGTAAAATGGATAGAATGTGGACTGGGATGGAGAACATGACGGACCCATTGTGTAATCGGCGAAACCATTGCCGTTGTAACTATTGTAGCCATTCTTCCGGCGCTCCTGACGTTTCTTCCGCGAGTTCAGCAAATCAAACGACGCCTTCGCGGGTGCGGACAGTGGGAGAGACAGACAGACAATAGGTGTTAGCATTCAATAGGCATTTAAATGATAGATAACAATAACTAATGGATAAAAAACAGGTTTGCCATCAATGAGAAAAAGATGAGGGATTACATGGGAGGCGCCCATACATGTCAAGGAGTGGGAGAGAGAGAGCTGTGCTAATCCTAAGTCAACATTTCTCAATTCAAAAACCAAACCCATAGGCAACTAATGGATCGGATATAAGCTCACAAAATGGATACCCAATTGATGGACAAACATAACACTCTGGCAATGGATGGCTGAGTGGATGCAATACCTGTCTATTCCTTTCGATGGTCTTCTGTTCGAGTTCTTCACAATTGATGGAATCGATGTAATTCTCTTTCCTCCCGTCCCTCAGTTTGGCGACAATACAATACGAGCCCTTGTGTTCACCAAATCTGCCACAAAACAGAGATAATCACACCATTAGATCCACACAATACATACACACATATATAGAGAATACGGGCGCCAGTAATGAACGGGTGGCGACCGTCTGGACACAGACACACACAACACACCATTACCGCTACCATAGCTCACACAACAGGATTTATTGATACTGACCTACAGGTGACTTCGTTGGGATCGACCCATAGTGTGAGCTCTAGTGGCAGTTTGAGGTCATCGAAATTGATTCCGCACTCTTCGCAGGCCTTCTCCACGACAGAGTCCCTGCGGTTGTTCTCATTGAAACGGATGCACCGGAAGGCCTGTNCACAACAGGATTTATTGATACTGACCTACAGGTGACTTCGTTGGGATCGACCCATAGTGTGAGCTCTAGTGGCAGTTTGAGGTCATCGAAATTGATTCCGCACTCTTCGCAGGCCTTCTCCACGACAGAGTCCCTGCGGTACAAGAGTAACTTTGCCTACGTGGCCTTCCGGACAGGGGCGTAGCCGGCCAGCCCCTTGGTTACCAACGCCTTGAAGAGGAGGTTATTAACCGTATTGAAAGCTGACTTGGCTAGCTAGCGAAGGACTGTTATCACATCCGGTGGTGTCGTCGGCGGCGACGAAGAAGTGTCGCTACTTTTGGCGATAAGACGGGTCAGGAATGTGACCGCACTTTCGATCTCTTCTATCATCACTTCCTTTCCTCGTGAGTCAAATCAAACGATAAATAATTTATTATGTAATCTATTATCCAATGTCTGATCCGTTGTACACATCAGAGACACCACTCGATTGGCCGTCAAATCAGAGGACAATTGGGAGGTATTTGTAGATCAGATGTATGGCTGATAATGGGATATCACGGCACAGATGGACAGTTGGTCTGCGCTCAACGACGACAACAGCTGAAGACGATTACAACCAACTCTTTATTACAGTTATATATAACCCAATCAATGATCAGATGTTATGGCTATAGACAGAGAGAGACACACAATGTATAAGACTTTGGGATCAATGAAAGTGATGAACAATTAAATACAATTCAATACAAATCAATGGCAATAATACAAATGTAATGATAAAATGGGTTTTCATGTGAATCGCTTTGTTCTCATTGAAACGGATGCACCGGAAGGCCTGTCCCCGCATCGGCCGGTCGGGGAACCAATGGTTGCGGAACTTCTCCTCCAATAATTGGCATAACTTTCGACTGAACCGATCGATCGCTTCCTGCGTTATCACATCCGGTGTCGTCGGCGGCGACGAAGACGTGTCGCCACTTTTGGCGATAAGACGGGTCAGGAATGTGACCGCACTTTCGATCTCTTCTATCATCACTTCTTCACTCGAGAGTCAATCAAACGATAAATAATTTATTATGTAATCTATTATCCAATGTCTGATCCGTTGTACACATCAGAGACACCACTCGATTGGCCCGAAAATAAAGAGTACAATTGGGAGGTATTTGCGGATCAGATGTATGGCTGATAATGGGATATCACGGCACAGATGGACAGTTGGTTTGCGCTCAACGACGACAACAGCTGAAGACGATTGCAACCAACTCTTTATTACAGTTATATATAACCCAATCAATGATCAGATGTTATGGCTATAGACAGAGAGAGAGACACACAATGTATAAGACTTTGGGATCAATGAAAGTGATGAACAATTAAATACAATTCAATACAAATCAATGGCAATAATACAAATGTAATGATAAAATGGGTTTTCATGTGAATCGCTATACGAATGACAAAAAACTACACAAATTTGTTGCTCACAAAAAAATGGCTTCAAATACAGTGCGTATATGAAAAAAGTGCATATATTTCGCACAACAAACTCGTTGTACGGCCCGAACAGCTCTGTAGACGTTCAACACCGCAATGGCAATGCGATTCGTCTACAAACCCCAGCCATAGACTGTACGCCTGTGTTGACTGCGAGCGCAGCCTATGCTGTACTGCCTATACTCTGTGCATAACGTAATGGCTGTACATATTGTGGTATAGAAAGGGTTCACGCATTTGTGGCACTCATTTCCGTACCAAATAGAGTGACCACTCGTTTTCACAGGCCGTATAATGGGGTCAATGGTATGACTCACCGTTTGATCGTTTTATTTCAATTGAATGGCTTTTTGATTCACACCAAAAAATTAATGTACAGATGAACTGATGAGTGGATGAAAAATACACAAATGCTATGCAATGGTTGTATGCGTTGTGTCTGTGTATCGCGTATTGAAAAATACTGTGTGTTTTTGCTATGGATTTTTATACATAGGTTTTGTATTGCCATTCAGTCCAGTAATACAACTGTTATTTTGAGGCCCCCTTTTGCCCCCACCAGAGGGCGCCCCCCAAACAGTGCTAGAATATAGATTGTGGGGAACTTTCCAGTAGATTTATTTATAACCTTGCTTGTTTTGCTGGGTGTGGGGAGGGGTAGGGGGTTATTTTTAATGTTTTATCCTGATTGATATATCCAGATGGTTAGTTAATAAGTAACAATTAAGTGTGTGAATCTATAATTACCCTGTTTTTATTTCCCATTCTGAATGCTATAATAATGGATGCTTTAATTCTGGTTAAAGAATATTGGTCACTATTTCCCCACACCCAGCAAAACTTTATAGCATTCAGAATGGGAAATAAAAACAGGGTAATTATAGATTCACACACTTAATTGTTACTTATTAACTAACCATCTGGATATATCAATCAGGATAAAACATTAAAAATAACCCCCTACCCCTCTCTCCCTTGGAATCATATGGCACCATGTTAATTATCAATTAAACGACCCTGTATGGATTTATAACAATTGAATTATTATCTGGTAATTTAGTTAGCATGTTTAGTTCATTTAATTCCAAAGATCTTATGGTAATTTTGATTAATTTAGGTACCATGTGTAAACTTAAATATCTCCCTGGTTACTCCTCCTTGTTGTTTATGGAAAGTGTGTAAGATCGAAAGTAACCTTGTTAATAACAAAATTTGTTTACCATATAAGCGATCACGTAATGCTGTATCCTTGAAATATATAAACGACTAAGGTGATTAGATAAGTGGTTACGTAAGGTTTTAATTAAAAACAGGGGCACAAAATGTACGGTATTTTTGTGTGACTCCGCACCAAAAGTCAATGAACTGCAACGTAAATGATTCACAAATAACGTGTTATCAGAAGTTTTTTAGTCCAAACAAAACCCAAACAAATTCATGAAATAATAGTTTTAAGCATTATTATTAAATTAACATTATTATTATTGTATAGATTATTCAGGGTAAAACAGTTTAAATAAATAATTGACCATGGTTTGATTGTAATTAAAGTAATTTAACTATAACCGCAATTTATTTAGTCCGTTGAGTACAGTCGCGCTATGAATTTTGTAGACAATCTAAACGTTATTGCAATACAAATATGCGAACAAAAATAAACAGAGCATTCAATTTCATCACTACTTTTATACAATACATAGCGGATAACAGACTCAGGCATTGAAAGGCATTTATGAATGACAACCTAAAAGAGTGGCTGTATTTGAGTGCCATTGAAATCAAGGCATTCGTCGTACAGTGTGTGCCATATATTGGGCGCCAAAAGCACTCAAGAGTTGTAAATAAATTTACTATTTTTTTGTTGCCATTCATTACACGCTTTCAACTGATAATCAGCTCAAATGTGTGTCCACTGAATCCCGTTTAGCGGATCCGTTGGACATCACTTGTGGCTGTGAGTGGCGGACACACATCAGGTAACAAAACCCGTCGCCGATCCCATTGTCACTGAAACATGGCTTATGTCTTGTGGGCTATTGTATGGTGACATGTGGTCACACGCGTGGACACGATGTTCACGATATACTGTATATGCGATGACAATATCACTAACGATGTCTTGTATTGTTTCAGTGTCTAAACCAATCAAGCAATACATACAGCGATGCCGTCCTCTTCTGCGAGTTCGGTGTCGGACAACGAGTTCGAGAAGAAGAAGGGTTGGGATGAGAAGGAGTACGACTCGGATGGCAACGAGTTGTATGTCGTGGAGAGGATATGCGACAAGAAGATGATGAGAGATCCCGACAACAGGAACAACAAGATATGGATGTATCACTTGAAGTGGAAGGGCTATGGAGAGGGCGAGAAGACGTGGGAACCCAAGAGCAATATGGACTGTCCGGACCTCTTGGAAGAGTTCGAGAAGGAGTGGAAAGTAAAGCAGGAGAAGGAGAGGAAGCGGAAGGAGAGGGAGGAGCGCGAAGAAGAGCTGCGGCGCTCCGAGAAGTACCTCAAACACAACAAAGACAGGCATAAGTCGCCGAAAGCGGCCCGTCGTTCGTCTTTTGACTCGGATTACGATACGAGCAAACCGTCGGGAAGTGGTGTCTCACGCGATGACATCCGAAAGTCCGATAAGGTTTACCATTTTTGCCGGTTTTGTGTTGTTTTGAGTGTTTTTTAATGATTTTTTTGTTTGGCTTTTGGTCTGTAGAAGAAGAAACGGTCGCACAGTTCGGACAGCGATTCCGAAGCCGACCGCAAGAAGCGGAAGCACTCGATGTCGACACCGAAGTCTTCGAAGAAGATCAGCAAAAAGGATTCGGACAGCGATTCAGACGGCGATAAGAAACGAAAGAAGAAGGTCGAGGAGGAGAAGCGCAAGAAGAAGGTCGCGTCCGACTCGGACTCCGATTCTGACGCCAAGTCTAAGGCCAAGAAGACTGAATCGGAGCCCAAGAAGTTTGAGAGCGAAGCCGAGAAGAAGATAATGTCTAAACCCGGACCCAAACGGGCGAAAGAGGCGGCGCTTAAGAAACTGAAGGAAATGGAGACTCAGAAACCGAAGCCAAAGGATTCGGACGACGAAAGCGACTCAAAGAGTAAACCGAAGAAGAAGTTGGACTCGGATTCAGACGACGACTCGAAGACCAAAAAGAAGGAGTCAGAAGAGGATGACGTGAAGAAAAAGATAATGTCAAAGCCGGGCCCCAAACGGGCCAAAGAGGCCAGACTTCAGAAGGCTATCGAAGACGAAAAGAAGGCAAAAGAGAAGCCAAAAGCCGTCGATTCGGACGACGAGAAGAAGACAACGCAGAAGAAGAAGGAATACGTCTCGGATTCGGACGACGAAAAGACACCGAAGGCTTCGACGGCTGATAAGAAGGCCGACAAAGAGGAAGAGCCCGAGAAGGAGGAGTTGGCGAAGAAGATAAGGCCCGGACCTAAGCGGGCAAAAGAGGCTCAAATGGCGAAACTGAAGGCCAACTCTACGCCAAAACCCGAAGAGAAGAAGAAGACTGTTGTCGAGGAATTGATTGATAACGATTCCAATGATAAGAATTCTTCCTCTTCTTGGGATACGGACGAGAAGAACAAGAAACAGACAGAAAAGCCGAAGAGTCCGACAACAAGTCCGTCAAAACAAGAGAAACCCGCGGAAGAGGAGAAGGAGGAGCCGCTGTCGGCCCGACTCGACAAAGTGCTGCTCAAACCGGGACCCAAACGGGCAAAAGAGGCCCAAATGGCTCGCCTGAGCAAAGCCGCGAGTGAAGACAGTAGTAGTAATTCAGTCATCAGTAAGAAAAGCGATGATAAAGAGTCGGACAAAGAGGAGGACAACAAGTCTGATGACGAAGAGAGTGAGTCGACGTCCGCCGCCAAGAAAGACGAGACCACCAAAAGTGCGGAGAAGAGTAGTCCCAAAAAGAGCAGTAATGAAGAGCAGAGAAAGTCTGTGCTCTCGAGACCGGGTCCCAAACGCGCCAAAGAGGCCCGACTTAAACGTCTGAACGATTCGCTCCAGACGTCTGGCGTCACTGAAACTAAAGACGACAGCAATTCCAGTAACTCTAACGAAGAGACCACTAAAAAGACCAACGGTTTGAGTCGAAGGGCCGGCAGTACGGACTCATTGGACGCCATCATCAGTACTCCAGCGCCCGAAGAGGAGTCAATGGAAATGGAGAAAGAATTGGTCGCTGAGATCGAGTCGCCGGCCGGTGTGGCGCCCGAGCCGTTGACTAATGGCGGCGTTGACAGCGACGACAACAGCCGTCTCGGCGCCGGCGAAACGGCTGATAACCTGATCGCCGGGTTGACCAAAATCGGTAATTCAGTGACAATAAACAGTAGTAAGTATTTGTCGCAAATATCTAATGCACTGTCTCTGGCGGCCGATGTAGAGATGAAAAGACCCGGTTTTATATCAAAACGCGTGTCCATTAAACCCTTCAGAACCGATCGGAAAGCGGATAAAATCATATCCGCCTTCTATTGCAACGAAAATAAGTTGTGTTTTTTGATGAAATATTCGGCCACTAATAAGTGTGAAGTCGTCCTCTCAGACGATGTCAGTCAACAGTAAGTCCACACTCTTCGGTGTCTGTTTTTGGTATTCATTTTGTGTTTGTTTTTTCCCATTTCATAGCAATCCGAAGCTTGTGATCGATTTCTATCAGTCAAACCTTCACTTCACATAAGGACTGTTTCAACAATTCACTGAATCATTAGCTGATAGTTGTCTCCGATCTCTCATTATATCAATCATTTTATATTTCAAGAAATGAACACATTTTAAGTGATGTTTTGTTTGTTGTTTTGTTTATTGCGCTAATCATTGGCCCCGAATTCCTCGTTATCATTGATTTGGTTTAAAACAATTTAATTATAAAATCACACATATATTGCAAAATACTTTAATTCCTTTCATACTATCCGATCGTGTATTGACTTATTTAAGTTGTTAACTGATTTAAAATTAATTATAAAATAATTATCACAACATTTGTCCACTAAATTATAAGTTAAACATGATTTTTATGAATACTTTCTCTCAAAACATGATTTCAATCTTTTTTAATTTTAAAATTCATTTGCAATGATTAAAGTCAACCAATTTTATCATCTATTTTGTAATAAATATGATTTTTCCTATGACTTCTGTTTTTGTTATTTATTTTTAGTTAATTGTTTGTTTTGTAATTGATTATCAACTCGTTTTGGTGGTCATGTCTTATGGTAAAAGTGATCTTTTGTTTACAACCATTTCTATAACTTTTAATTTATTTTAAAACTATTTTTATTCAGGAAATGAATGGAAGTTTATTTGAATTCTAGGCTTTAAAAAGTTACAAATTTTGATATCTCTTAAGGTATTTACAAAAAACAAATTCAATTACAAAATACATGAGAAAATCAATTAAAATATATGATAATTTTGAACGCCTAACAAATTAATTGCATTTTCTTCGGCAAACATCGGGAAGTGCTTCACATACGAGAGAGTCGGGACGACTTCATGTATGACAGGCCGTCGGTATGCGATACCAGTGTCAGAGCCAAGAGTGACAGCCCTATAACGACGGCAAACAGGGCTATGATCGCCAATAACAGCGTAAACGTGGACATCGAGTCAGTCATATCCGACATCAGGCGACCGAAGCTCGAGAACCAATTCAACGACTTCTTCTGGCTTTTGGTGTCCTCTTTGGAGCACTTGAGGAAGTCTTTCAGTTTGATTGTCTTCTGGCAAAGACTGCCCACAAAGCGTCCCGTCTTTTGAAACAAAGTTTTAAATGATTAATGAAATGAATTTTTGAAAAATAGTGACCAAACCTTTGGGTCGACGTCCGAGACGTGAAACTCGTGAACCAAATCCATGGAAACGAAATAGATTTTTGTCGAATCGCTGAAAGCGGTGGTAATCTTATGGCCGTCTGTGAGGCCAAAGTCGGCGATACTTCGGGGATAGTTGTCGGCCAGCGATCGGCTGCCTCTCCTCCAGCCGTCGCTCAATTCAAACGCCCAATACTTCGAACCTATCGTTAAACGAGTCAACAATTAAGTGATTTGAAACACCATTTCATTCATCAAACCCTGGATTATATAAGCGATGCGTTTGGAGGTCCAGACAAAGGCCGCGTCGATCGGCAGATCCAGGTCTGCGGTCAGGCCTTCGAACACGTTTGACAATAGCGTGTCTTCAGTGGCATTCGTTGTGTTGGAACCGATGATCTGCACAAGTGTTCCGCTGGCCTTCAATGGGAACAGAGAGACAGACATTACTCACCGCTCATTGACAAGTGAGAGACTCACGTGAAGACTGACGAACTCGATGTTAGTGTTGTTTGCGATGACAAAGAGGTCCTGAATGTCCTGAAGTGCCATAAGATGTCTGAAGCCGTGTCGCCGTTGATCAGTGCCGCCACGGGTCGGGTCCACAAAGTAAGCGCATTCGCCGCTAATCAACAACAGTTGCGGCGATCCGTCGATGGAAGCGATGGCAGTGATTGGCCGGAGGTTTGAGCAAAGGGTCGGACAGTTGGAGTCTTCGGCCGCCGATAACCGGAATCGACTCATCGCTACGCTATCAACGACTTCATTGGAAAACAAGATTGCGATTGAAATCAAATGAAGAATATTCTTCGACATCATATTCGCGGGAAGAGATTCTAAACACAAGTCTAAGGCAATGGATGAATAGGTCTGTCGATGAATGGGTTCTGGAGGTAAGGATTAAGACTTTTTAAACGGTTTTGAAGACTTTTCTAATAAAGACTAGAATTTGTTTTATAACTGTTTTTGTGTTGATTTAAAAGTGTTTAACAATTGAGTCTTGCATTCAATGCTCTCAACAATTATTGTCTCGTTTTAATAATTGAGGCAAAAATTGTGAATTAAATGGGATTTGATTTCTAAATGTCGTGAAAAACAATTGAATTGAATTTCAAAACCAAATTCAATAACGAATTTTAAATTAGACTTCAATTCTCAATACAGTCTTCATTTCTGACTTATTCTCTACTTTTGGATCCGTTTATTGAGACTTTTTTTGATTTATTTTTCACTGATATCGTCACAAATCGTTGACAATGACTGGTATTGTTCAACCCATTCCTCCCAACCGTTTAGAGGAATTGGATTTAAATGATTTGAGCGTTGAATTAAAAGACGTTAAATTCACTTATGATAAGTCGAAGGGATTGCTATTGAATAACATTAACATGTCTTTCCCCAGAAGTGCTATGTATTCATCAAGTGATCAAACTTTCATTACATTTACTAATTGTTATTTTCAATCATTAGTTACGGACTTCTGGGTCCGAGTGGTTGCGGAAAGACAACACTAATCAAACTGATTGTCGGCCGACTCTCGCCGTCGAGCGGAACCGTTCGCCTCAACGGTCGGCCGCAGAGCGACCCAAACAACAGAATACCCGGCGTTGGCGTCGGATATATGCCTCAGGTTTGCAGTCATTTCATTGCTATTCAAACCAATCATTTGAACGAGAGTTTGATTTTAGGAAATATGTCTTAACGGAGACTTCACTATATATGAGACGTTAAACTATTTCTCAAAGATCTATGGATTGCCAGAGGATTACAAGAAACAGAGAATCGATTTTCTCATCAAATTCCTCGATCTTCCGGACCGGAACCGATTGGTTGGAGTCCTTAGGTATCAATTAATGCCATTGTTTTCTCGCAAATTATAATTGAAAACTAATTTCTAAATCTCTGTTAAGTGGCGGTCAAAAGCGCAGAGCATCGCTAGCGGTGGCCATCATTCATAAGCCGCCGCTTCTCATACTCGATGAGCCAACTGTTGGCGTCGATCCAGTGCTCAGAGAGAGGTAACCAAACAATTGTATTCAAAAGCTATTAAAATACTAATCATTTATTTTCTTAAAAACACTAGAATTTGGGAACATTTGCTGAATCTATCAAAAGAAGAGAAGACATCAATTATGATAACAACTCATTACATCGAAGAGTGTCGTCGCGCGCACGCAATCGCACTCATGAGGAACAGTAAGATTCTGGTGGAGAACTCGCCGCACATCCTATTGACACACTTCGGGACCGACAACTTGGAGGACGTCTTTCTAAAGGTGTGTCGCGCCGAAGACGAGAAACTGGTCGGCGTTTCTATGCCTCCAACGATGGCCAGCATGAAAGCCAACGCACAAAATGGCCAACACTTGCAGTCCATAACCACCGGTCAGACAACCAAAGTCTCGCATTCGACTAATACTGTCCAGAGATTCGGCGCTTTGATTGAGAAGAACTTCATTAGTCTTTATCGACAGAAAATGTATTATAAAAATCAATTTTTTTATAATTATTGTGTGTTTTAATCGTTATTTACTGTATTTATAGGCAATTCTTAATACAGATAGTGATGCCAATGATAGGCATCGCGTTGTTCTGCGCCTGTATTGGGGGTAAACTCCGGGACTTAGACGTTGTCGTCTATAATGAAGACTCTCCCGCGACTTTGAGCGAAATATTTCTCAATCATATCGATAACAAAACTATACTTTGGGTGAGTATTGAATTTAAATCTGTTTCTTCGCATGAAATACATGTAAACTATTTGAGTGTAGAATCGATTCGCCGACAACGGGTCCGCCTATAACGAGGTTAAAGTGGGCAACGCTTACGGCGAACTGGTCTTCGGTCCCAACTTCACGGCTGCTCTAATGGCGAGAGCGTTGGCTCCCAATCTCCAGGTGTCCGACGAGACCATAGCGATGAGTACTGCCATGTTTTACGCCGATCTGACCGGTAATGACCACTAATTAGCACTTATTTTTCAATTCAATTAACTATTTGTTGATCTGTTGTC